AACATAGCTGCAATTAAATAAGAAAAATAAAAACCTCTCAATCAATTAAGAGTAATTAATTAATCTGAAGTCACATTCAATCAAACAGAAGAAAACTTAATTATCGACAAGGTATGAAACACACTACCTTTTATCTGGTACTTTAAATTCTTTTCTGAGTTGTTCAACTAGTTTAGTATTGCGATGTAAAAGTAACTGGAACATTGTGTCGTGTAGTGATAGATCAAGATAAGGTTTCTGTAATTCTTCCTCCAAGCGCTTTTGATACCTCATTAGCTTCACTTGTTCCTCAGTTTGCTGGAACAAGCGAAGAAAGTTACATGAAAGAACCATGAAAAGAATTAATTCAATTGATTAACTATTGCACTGGCCCCTTGTCTTTGTAACTAAACATAGAAAGATGGCTGGCAATTGCAGAAAATGCAAGTAACATTGCATTTAAGAAAAAAGACATGGATGCAACCATTATAATGGCTTTGTATAAGCACAACTTACCACTTAGATGTGAAGTAAACCCTGTGGGGCACTGATTAAACAATCATAGTTAGGTATGTGACATGTCATCAAAAGAGACAACTAACTACCGTAATTGTCTTCTTCTGATTATCTTTTTGACAGATTAAAGTCTCACATTGTATGGTCTGTGGAAAACCTTATGAAATTAGCCCAGGAATGTTTGAGATAAGGTGCCGAAGGATGCACAAAAGCACAGAGTTGAAATTATAAGTCCACATTTTTGGTAAACTTTCAGCCTATTTTTTTATCAATTAAATAAAGAAGTTCATTTCTCATTTGTAAAAATAATACTGATTTTGCATATATTCATATTGCAATGCAAGAAAGAAAATAACTTGTATATAAGAAAATGGTTATCATACTGCAAACACAATATTTACTTATACACACTACAATATTAGAATTTATATGTGACTTTTTTATCCCAAGCATGAAGAGGTAACTTCACCATTGAATTTTGACGATTTCATGAAACTCCCAACTCT